TTAAAATTACTGGTTATTATGAAACGTCTAATCAAGTCTAACCAACACGACTATTCTACCCTGTTTCACCCAAGTATTTATCATTACCTGGTGAGGTATAATCTCGCCCTCACCAACATTCCATGAAAAAAAAAATTACTTTACGCGTGTGTGTGTCCAAAAAGTAACTGTAATACAAGTTAAAACAAATATTCTTATGAGAACAAAAATATCAATCCTGAGAAATAATAATCCCATTACAAATATTAGTTTATCCATATCAATCATCAGCTTAAATGTACACGTTAGAATTTAGGTGACCAAGCAATTATCAATAATAACCGTTCATGTCTCGAGTATAAATAATGAGGTTTCTTCTCCTATAATCGTACTGCTTTTGTATTGGTATAACAGATACATAATGATGATACACTGTACGCTTATGGAATTAAAAATAATGACATATTTATCTTTTATCAGGATGAAACTCAAACACATAACACAAGGAACCGAACAAAACTAAACAGTAAAAAGCAAATGAAGTTTCTGAAGAAATTTGATTAAAACTTTGGCTGAGTGGGATACGAACATACACACTCTTGAACCGGAATATTTTTCTTATAAGTTGAAGCTAAAATCAATGGTAAGACTTGTGTATAATTCATAATAATATACTGTAACCAACCCCCCCCCCCATACCGTTAACTGATATAACAAAGTGTAGCCTCATGACCCACACAAATAATTATAATCAATTAATAAAATATAAACACAATTGGTTATAACAACATATGGTACGCGCGAACTCTTTAACTCTGAACTTTTTATCCTTGGCCAGGTTCAATTAAGTGGAATAATAAAGTCCTTGCACATCACACACACCAGCCTCCTGTCTTCATTTACCTCCTACAACAACAAAGTCACTCCTCGCCTTTACAGCATGATAACCAATTAACAGCCAGAAGTTTGATGATGAGTCCTTTCATTTTACATCATTTTCTGCAGTGTTTTGTTTGCCTTCACATACTGGAATTATCGTGATTGTAAAATAAACAAGTCAAGGATTACGTGAAGATTAAGCACCCCAGCTTATTTAATTGATTAAACACCCTTAAGCTACTAGGGAAGGGGAGAGGGGTGTTAGGTTAGATTAATATTAGTGTTTAATCTTCAGATGAAATAAGTTGGGGGTGTCTAATCTTCACGTGATCCAAAGGGCAAATATCAGTAGCAGCCAAATTATAGTTTTGATCAGAATAAAGAACTTTAATCTGTGTATCATAATAATTTTATATCAGTCAATCGTTTGTATGTCTTACAGGCTAATGATGTGTGCCCTTCCCTCCTCCCTACAACCTCCCTCTAGTGCAGCCATTTGTCATTTCTCACTAAATTATTTGAATCACGAGATGCTGACCTGACTGACTCTTACTATTTTAACGGTGCGTTGGCTGAGTTATGGACTACCTTACCGGCAGCCCTACATCCTCACAGCGCGAACTGGACAAGACCCAGACTCCTATGCTGTTAGTATTACCAAGAGGAGCTGAGATTAAAGACTGCCTCGCGCGGTTTTTTTTTTTTTTTTAGTCTCCCAGTGTTTTAGTTCAAGCTGAGCCGAATGTAGGACAGTGTTTGTTCCATGTTTTGATTATCTTTTATTTGGTCTTTCTACATTTTTTTTCTCAGCAGTTTTCTTCCTGTTTTATTTTAATTTCTAACCTTCACAAAACATTTTCTTTTTTCGTCTCTCGATTCCTTTTTTTTCTATTCTAATCTTCCTCGTTTCTTTTTTTTTTTACCTTCTTTTTTCCTTGTTCCTTTTCTTGCTAATTTCACCTGATGATTAACCACCGTAACCTAACTTAACCTAACCTAAACCAATTAAACTTCCCCAGGTAGCGACAGGGTGGTTATCTTCAGGTGAAATAAACTGGGGGCGAGGAATTTCCAGGTGATCGATCCATTTACATTTTTACGTATTTTTTTACGCTACCTAATTTACGTTTCCTCGTTTATTTCCCTCAACACTTAAACTTATGGAACACATAACAGTCAACAAAACGGAACTAAATCTTGTCCATTTGGTCATTCGGTGTAATTTATCGAGTGCAATAACGACCCAGAATAACAAGTTCAAGTGAATTTGCGTATTAAAAACAAGATAAACAGCATTTATATCAAAGAAATAAACAAATGCTAATTATATCTAATACTGTATTAAATCGAGACGTCATATAATAAACCAATTCACAATAAACCATAATTTTATTTTTATTTTTTAGTATCGGTAAAATAAAATCGAAGACACGTTAATAAATACTGAAGACAGATGCTCGTGTCCAGAGACAGATTCAGGAAGCCGAACCCTAACCTTTGGGAATAGGTAAAATGAAGAAGAAAAACATAGACAAAGATAATAAAGATTTTGGTCTTAGTCGCTGCTACATTCACTCGTAAAAACATCCCTCAAGCCCGAAAAACACATTAATGTTTCGTTTGGTTAGGAAAGATGGGTAGCCTATTGAGGTAATTAATAAAATTAATAAAAACTACATTTAATATGAGGCTTAGGCGTTTTTATTTTCGAAGAATAAAAAGCTTAAGAATCTAACTCCTTCAATCTTTCTTCCTTGGATGATTCAAGTCGTGATTCATCACACTGTTACTAACACGGACTGACATAGGGAGTACACACATCATTAACGGCTTGAAATGAACCTTATCCAACCTGGGAGGCTATACTTATTGCTTTATAATAATACAAGATGAGTCTTGTAACTCAGCTAAGGTTGAGGAAAACAAAATTAACAAAGCTATTTCTGAAAATAAAGTATTGAACTGTTTACATTGTATCAATAATAGGAAAAGGTGGATTTATAAGTTCAATGAATGTAGATACATATACTGTAGCTATATATAGTATATAATGTTTCCATAAATGAAAACAAGACTTCAAAATTAGTCAATAAAATATACAGTATATACTGTTTGACGAAATAATCCAGTTCTCGGGGTCAAGGGAGACACTAGCCTAGCCATACAAGTGTTGCCACAGAGGTACCAACCTAAGACAGACAGGAGGTTCAAGACTAATCCACTTCTCACACTACAAGACGTAAACAGGAACCAAAGTTTAAAGAATTCGCTATAACAGTAGTTTTTACAATCTAGAGAACGAATTTTGAATATATTTTTTTAAGATTTGTTTATTGGAAATGCTCCAGATATGAGTAGGATACATTGTGGAAGATAAGTACAGTAAAATAAAAACTTTACAAAGAACTTTCTACCCCTCACGTACTCACTCAGTACAGTACAACAGTTCGTCCTCGCGTGGAATCCTGCCCTCCCATTAAGGAAAGTGCACCTCCGTCCTCCCGAGTCCTCGTCGACAAAATCCAGTGTAAAGCCATGCGCCTTATCAGTGATCCATCTGTCACCTCCAGTCTCCCACCCCTCCACGTCCGTCGCTCAGTTCCTCCCTCTTCACCCTCCCCTCACCCTAATGGTCTACCTTCTGGTGAAATCCCAACTATCATCACTGGTTATTTCAAATTAGGTGTTCTACTGCAGTCTACTCGCTACCCCACACCTTGTTACTGGCACTGTTCAAACACCTTATACACATGGGTAACAGCTGCATCTTACCTTTTACTTCTTGTATCTCACGACATTGAGTGTCTCCTTGCACACGTAATTTCCTCAGTACATAAAACTTTGTATAAGATATAGTCAAATGTTTAAATATAGGTCTCAGGCAAGTGTCTCCTGCCCCAGGAATCACCCTTGTTACTTAAAATTAAAAGGACATGCTTACATAACCTACATATATATATACATACACATACAGGATCACCTGAAGAATCTCTACCCCGACTTATTTCACCTAAATATTAATCACCTTAATGCTATCCTAACCAAACCTCATTTCCTCCCAAAAATTTACGGTGCTAATAAGTTCTTAAGCTTAGATAAACTTTAATTCTGCACAAGTGTAAGTGTAATTTTTATCTTTTTAACAATTAACATACAGTATTTCAACTTAGAATTTAAAATCAATACTCTGTCGGTGGGAGATAACCACAGACAAGTATGATGATTTTCGTATTCACAAGAGTGCCAACAGCGATGTCGTATCCATAACACAACGTACCAGTGCGGCGGTAGTTAATTAATTAAGGTAAGGCCATGTAACCTCAGACTAATCCTGACCTCAGGTGGAGCGAGAGGAGGGGAAAGGTCCTGTATCAGATATCCCGAATCACCTGACCTGAGTAATAATTTGTGGTATCCTACACGTACCACTGACATAAGATACCAGTTATAATTCTAACATTCAAGAAGGAAAAAAATCCACGTAGATCTCTTGAGACAAAAGCTGTTCCTCTAGTTCTCGTACACCAAAAAATCACTAAGAGTTCTTATGTTGCCGTATTTTTATGCTTTTGATAAGGCTTCCTGCTTCTCCAGTTACTATTTTTGTTTGTTTCTCATCTGCGTGGAATCACATAGCTGCACCACTATCAACTTTATGATCAAATGAACCACGAAAGAACTAATCATCTTTTTAGTTTAATTACTGTAACAACGAATATATGTATTAGTGAATTAATGAAGTAGTAGTAGTAAATAATTTAATGTCTTTAAAGAAGTTCCTCACTCTTGCCTCTTTAGAATAAAAATATTAAACTTTGATGCTCTTTCTCCAAAGTTACGAAGAAAATTAAATCAGATACGATATGAAAAATTCGTTTATACAACAACGGAAGTTCCATTATATAACGTTTTCCCTCGGTAAAAATATTAAATCCAGTAGGATAAGAAAACCTACACGGTGTTACTGTTATAGTTTCGACTTTCAGTATCACCTAAAAATTAAATCTTAAGTATACTAACTTCAAGGATAGGCCTACGAAGTGACGTATATAGGCCTAATGCATCATTCTCTGGTAACAAAGATAATAGCCTATTCATCTTTCCTAAAAACAATTGGTTAATTATCTATCCTGGAGACTTACCTGGACATAATTTTCCAGCGCTGTGTCAGGGGGCAGCGAGAGGATCATACCACTTTAACACGCATCCTGTGAGATGCCCACACTCTCCAAGCCGCCCACTAAATATCACGCCCACAACTTGAATAGGTCTCGAGCCGCCCACAACTGGATAACGTTTCAAACCAACCACAGCTTGACAACGTTTCAAGCTGCCCAAAACTAGTAAACACCTCAGTTTGCCCACAGCTTGAAAACGTTACAAGCTGCCCACAAACTTGTTAAAGACGCCAGGAGTCCACCACTACACACACACTACACTCCTTTCTGATCCCTTTGGCCAGTCGAGATGTTCGTGTGTGTGGTAAGACCCTCGGAGCCTTCACATTTGTCTCCTGGGCTCAACTGGGCTCAAATGTGGCTCAGCTTGGCACTTGACACACGCCGAGATTCCACCAATTCGACGCTGCGCGCTGGTCAAGGGACGGCTTGATATTTCACTTAAAATTCTCCAGCGGAAGGAATATACAAACTCAAGTTTATTGGTTAATATTTCGATTAGATTTCAAGGAATTTTTTTTGTTCTTGCTCAATTATGTGAACAAATTGGCTTTTTTTATGATTTAACTTTTCATTTATTGAGCCACTTGACGTCATTCAAGCCTTGAAAGTTCGTAACACTTAAAAAGTTTGTAAAAATTGTCCTTTTATAACTCGTTGAAGTCGCATCAATTTCCCTCGTACATCACATCACAAATTTCCAGCGATAAACAAATCACAAGATAATTCATAAAGTTTGGTCAACTTCGAACGTCACAGAGCGAGTCCCAGGAGAGCGTTCATACGTCCCCTCCCTCTGACTGTCAGTGGGAGACTAGTCTCGTTCGACCAGACCAACTCCTAGCCAAGTGCTGCGATGCAGCGAGTCTGCGGCGGTTGTCTGAGTGGCTGTAGTTGCCGTACAGTTCACCAACTACGCTTACCTAGCTAATTTCCCGATGCCATAGTAAATTGTTCGAGACAATCTTGTCAGGATGCATTTGTCCCTACTTGCATGTGTTTAAGAGAGCCTTATCTGAAATTTGGCGTATTTTCTGGATGGATTACTGTGACAACGGGTTGTCTTTCGCGGACATAAATATATCTTGTAGCTTCGAAATTGTACAATCTACCATAAGTGCAGAAAGTCACAAAAAAGGCAGATATGTGGATTTACAGAGATATATTAGAAATTCGTGGCGACATTAGCAAGAGTTGAGAAAATAAATAAACACCAGGTATATAGCCCAAAAATATATAGGTATTGATAGATCTTGGGACAAGAATACCTTAACGCCTCACAGAGCTCCCATACCCCAAGAAACAATAGAAATAAATAAATAAATGAATGTATAAATCGTGGGGTCTTATCCCTGGAATTGCCATTCAATACCCTGACTTTATCACAATATTTATTGCTTATCCCAACAGTCGGCGGACCTGCCAGCCGTAGGAGCGTCTTCATTAGTGCTGGAGAGAAGGGGGCTGGAGGATGGGACTAGGGGAGAGAGAACTGGGGTGTAGTGGAGATTTTGGAGATCGAAGATACATGATCCTCCAGGAGAAAAGAGACAGGAGGCGGAGATATTTAAAAAAAATGAGTGTTTAGGACATAATGAGTTAAGAGGGGAAGACGGAGTGATGAAAGTTTTTTACTACAGACGATGAACTGAGGCAGACAGCAGGTGGTAAATGGTCAGGCTGGAAGAGGTTATTTTGGGTCTGGTGGTATTTTATGATATATATATATATATATATATATATATATATATATATATATATATATATATATATATATATATATATATATATATATATATATATGCAAGCAAATCACTGTAGTGCGCGTGATCCAGGTATATGCTGATAACCACAAGGAAAAAGAAAACAAGCGCTTTCATGTAATTCACATCTTCAGGGGTGAGTACAGACTGTGTGTGTATATATATATATATATATATATATATATATATATATATATATATATATATATATATATATACACACTCCCTGAGAAAGTATATGTTCATAGACGAATACTTATTTCAGGTAGTGTGCTATGGTAAATTTTATGCTATTTTTTGTTGGTATTTTTGTACTTACGTTTAATTCAACTAGTTTGGTGTATATTATAAAAGTTTCATTTACGAGGAAAATTCATCATACATAGTTTTTTGTGAATCTCGACTCCTGGAAGATACATTATCTTCAATTCCGACAGTAATTTATAGATTAGTCGGCGCCCGTGCAGTGAACAGTAAAGAAATGTCAAAATATTTATCCGTGTGTAAAATATCATATCAGCGGAGGGAGTGAGTCTTGGGGCGATTCAATTTACAAGAAGAAAAAATATAAGTAAAGCCCAAAGTAAAAATAAAAAAAACTACACGTTAACAGAAACGGTTATCGGCACTACCTTATCAGAGGTGTTTTGACTGATCGTTTGAGTTAAGGTTTTCAATCGTTTCTGATTTTTCATCCTCGCCCTCAGCTGAAATAGAATATTGCTTACTATTTTGAAAAGGAATGTGTGTGTGTGTGTGTGTGTGTCCGGTAACACATTTAATAGACCAGATCACATGAAGATTTGACACCCCAGCATATTTCACCTAATAGAACATTCCCCAATTGTACCTGAAGGGTTAGGTTATGTTGTGTGAAGATAGTCTAATTTAGGCTAGGTTTGGTTATATTAGCATTTGGATGGTTAATTTTAAGGCAAAATTAGCTGGGTGAGAATGGGAAGATGGAGTTTATTAGAGGAAAAGAAAAGGAATTTGGTCGTGGACAAAACCATCTACCACTATTGGAGGATCTGGAACAATAGTCAAACTTCTGAAGGTGTATTAAACTTCATTTTGTGTAGGGAGAGAGAGAGACGCTGTGTGCCCCTGAACCAGCATAGTATATACGCCTTCTGTAGCATTCGTACATGTAGTCGACATTCAGTCCAAATTATCTTGAAACTCTCTAAATCACACTAAAATCCCATTGTAGGAGAAAATAAAATACAGAAAAACAAGAGTACTGTATATTTCGAGCGTAGATCTAAAGGGGAATTTATTTTACGAATCTTTGAAGAAACCGGTATTCCGAGCCCTACTGACGAAGCTTCGGATATTTCTCATAAACCAGAAGAACTGTTTACTCAGTTCCTCATCAGCCGCTTCTGTCCGATAAAAAAAAATACAATTATAGAAAATTGCTTGATCATCCGAACCGCTGGTTATTACGTCGTCAGGCTCGTGGGAAATCTATGGACATTTCTCGTAAGGTTTCGGTTTCCAAATTATTGTTAAACACTAATTTGCTTTCATAATTTCTATGTTAATCCACAAATACCGTTCTTAATGTGAACAAAAAATTGATACACATATGGGAGTATTACCAGATAATCAGGTGGCTAAATTCAGTAATAAAATGTAAGTCAGCTCTTGAAGCGTTTCTCATCAGTAATATTAACTTGGTTTTACGTGTTCGAGTGAGTGTGGGCGTGCAGTGAACGACACGCGTGAAACACGAAAATTGCGTCGCGATGGAGTGTTCGTTGGTGGCTTCGTGAAATATCGACAGTGGTAAACTGGTTCCCTTTGTCGATAAACATCAACAAGAGTTATGCATTAAAGAACGAAGGCACTGATTGATTGAATGAGACCTTAAGATAACAATAGGGCGTGTTTTGGACGATGCTAATGCTAAAAGACTCAACAATACGAATGAGTCGATGAATAAATAGATCTCCAAGACTCGAGAAAATATGTTTTTAAGAGAGTAACTTCCTGCCGGGCATTTGTTACTGTCTCTCTGCCTGACGTACAAATAATGTATCATCGGGCTGTGTATTTAAATAATTATTCTGAGTTTTACATTAGAAATAGTTTCATGCAAGATTTTGAAATATGGGCATGTAAACTTAATTTCGTTTCAAATTAAGTGAAATTAAAATCAGATAGTTTTCCCACATATCTCTACGTCCGGAAGAAAATAAATTACGATAACTAAGAATTACCAGGAGCTGCATTAGTCGTAAGAGCAGAGAGGTTGATCATTGATGTGTTTTCAGCTCTGGATGAAAGGCGATGCTGTGTACAGTAGGGTGAGCCGGCCGGAGACGAGGGGGAGAGAGAGGCATGGTGGTGATGGTGGGGTGGGAGAGGGACGAAGGCAGCTGATAAGGATCAAGAAACCTCTCTCAGTCGATCAGTCAGACAGAAAAAGATGGGGATGAAAGTGACTTACGCAACAAAAAATACGCGGAAGATATATACAGTATATATATATATATATATATATATATATATATATATATATATATATATATTACAACCGTTTACAATCGTAGATGGTGGCGTCACTGCGGTCGCTATAAACACTTTATCACGCTCATTGTCTCGTCTTCCCGCCCCCTTCGTCTATGGCGTTGAATCTTAATTGGATGCTGCCTGAGTTACCGATATTGAATGAAAACCCCCTTACAGGACGATTTAATCCTCCAACCCCTCTCTGATGTAGCCCTGCGGTGTCTATTGAAGTTAGTTCACAAGGAAAATGAGAGATACAGGTCTGGCTTAATGTGTTAATGGGAAGTCATCAGGAGGGACGATAAAGGGGTACGGTGGCTTAAGGGGTTGTTACTAAACTAATATCTTTCACTCTTATTACTTTGTTGTCTAATAAGGAAATTACGGCTTATTATTAAACGGTGTGAGCTCCTAGATACAGAGTTTAACGACATTAGGCGGCTCTTTAATCTCTACACTGCCAAAGGAAGTATCGTGTAGGAAACTTTCGGGTATATGTTATGTTTAAAGGTTATACAGCTTAATATTGTAAATAATATTTAAAAGGTAATAAACTACAATTGAAATTATTTCTTATATTTCAGATATCAGTTTACGACTGACTAAATTAGTTTCTGTGGAGAAGAAAATTTTTAAGAATAAATATTCGATTGCTTCATTTGATATTTATAAATTAGTTTCTGTGGAGAAGAAAATTTTTAAGAATAAATATTCGATTGCTTCATTTGATATTTATGAGTAATTCTGACCCGAAATTTTGTGTTTTCGCATTGGTAAAGATTTGGGCTAAGCGAGCATATACAGTAATATAAATACCAATACGTTAGTGAGGGGGTGAGCTTCATACTGTAATAAGACCGGGAAGATTTAGGCGAAAATCCTAAATTTACAGAAAAGGAATAATAAAGTACATTCGTTACTACACTGTAATTGAGAAGGATGATTTATAACGCTGGTGTTCTGATGCGGGGGATAATAATTCATCTACGCTGGTATAGTAATCGGCAACTGTCGTGTGGACGGTACGAGGCTTTTTTAATAACCTTCCATAGATAGAATTGTGTTTATTATTAGGAGTGTGTGATTGGTAATAAGATGATGTTTAAAGGGTTAATGAAATTTAATGTTTCTGGGCTGGGTAATCCGAGGTATTATCAAGGAATATTGTTGGTGTTCTATAATTTATTCAATAGTTACAGGTTAATATTATGACGGATTGTGTGAACCTAACATAACAAAGTAACCTAACCTAACCTAACCTAACCTAACCTAACCTAACCTTACCTTTCAGTCAAATGAAATAGGATGAAGCAGAGAGCAGTGTCCGTGTCATTGAGTTTTTATGATACACCCTAGTGAGAGTGAATAATCCCAACTCCCTAGTGAGGTTTTCATGAATAATCTTGTCATTTAACGTGGCGTATTATCACACATGCCAACTGTCACTCATACTGAGATAATCTCTCTCTCTCTCTCTCTCTCTCTCTCTCTCTCTCTCTCTCTCTCTCTCTCTCTCTCACCGGTGACGACGAAGCTTCCCTATTTGATTCCTTATTTA